GAGTTCTCCGTCTTCGCAGGTGGCTGCCACCGTTCTCCTTAACCTTGGAAACATTAGCGTATGTGACGCATGAAGATATCTGCAAGTGCTTCACAGGTGAGGAAGCGGTGCTCCGTTGTACAGACGGAACGCCACAGTCCTGTCAGTCTGTCCCAGTCACTCGCCTTTCTCTGGGAAAGAGGAGGCAGCAGGCCGCGGGCTGCCCATCAGCGTCAAGTTAAATGTAGTGCGAGCTCTGATGACATCCTGGGTTCGTGTACCGCTGAGCTGTAGCTTTCTTGTCACTGTCAGAGGGGCAGAGGGGGCAGGCGGTTTATTTACTTGTGGTTAAAGTAACATGTGTGCTATCCCTAAGGCAGTCTTTTCTCAGGGAGTCACTACGTGAGTTTGTGTGTGTTACATTACAGGTCTTGGATTGTAAGGGCTTGGGTGGACGGCGTTCTGATAACAGGAAGCAAAGTTTATTGCATGGTAGAAGTCTGTGCGTAAGTGGGCAGATAGAGGAGAAAGTGTTCCCTGTGCTGCATCGTGCCCTCTGCCAACGGGAATGCAAGAGGGAGGTGGTGAAGAGCAGGACAGAAGGGAATACACCGCTTCTGTGACCTTCCCTGTGTTCTGTCTTCCCGAAGCTGTGAGGTGCCTGTATAAAAGCCGTGTGTTCTGTATGGGGGGGTGCAAAAGTGAGGAGAACCCACAGGATTCTCTGTTTCTCCTCCATTGCCAATTTTAGTGATAGCTGTAGGAACAAAAAAACCCCAAACCCCAACTCGCCGGTGGCCAGCGTGCAGTCGGGCTGCCTGCAGTACAGAAACTGTTCTCCTCGGCTGTAGCGGTGTGGACTGACAGCTCCTTTCTGCTTCGGTGAGCACTTGGCCTCCCCTGACCCCGTGCACCCCGCAGCTGCTTGCTGCAGCAGAGGTTGGAGCTGCTTATCCTGGCCACCCCCAGCCACACGTAATCTCACCCGTGTCTGACTCTCCTCCTCTCTTTCAACTCTTCTCACCCCGCACTTCATCAGCTCTTCTTTTTTTCCTCTTTGCCTTCACGTGCTTTCCCTGTTCACCAGGCGTTGGGCCGCTGGAGTTCCTGCTGGTAACTTACGCCTCACCACCCGCTGTGCGTCGCTGTCTCTTCTGATTTAAGCTAGGGCTTTTGTGGGGGCAGGGATTGGGTTTTCAGTTTGACAGTGCTTGGGGCCAGACAACTGCTAGCAGGCTGGAAGAGTTTACGGGAGACCAGCAGACAGCTCGTTGCTTGATTGAGCGTTTTGCATTTTATTGCACCTGGTTTTCGTAAACTGGTTTGCGTCTGAAGTCAGACCTCGCCAGAGCGCACAGAGATCAGATCTTACTCGGGGCAGATCTGAGTTCCGTCTAGAACACAGGCTCGATCCGTGTTCTTCCATTGTCTCTTCGGTTTTCCTCTATGAATGTATTTTATGTGATTATTTTTTATTTTTTCCTCTCCTGAGCATCTGAGCCTTGCCGGGGTTCTTTGTTGGACCTCTTGTGTTCCTGAACTGTGGCGCAGGCTGAATTTCAGCTCAAAAAAAGTGCATTAGGGCTTGAAGCTTTCCCTGCTTGGGCTCTTGTCAAATGTGGATTCATTATTTGGATTAATTAAAAAAAAGAAAAAATAATACGTTAGTTTCTAGTGGCTGGGGAAAAAAGTTTTCCCATCTGGTGCTGTGATGCATTTTGCACTTCCAGAGCCGAAAAGGAATTGGAAACGCACTGTGCACTCTTTTGCAAAAGTATCTGGGACATCGCTATCAAGGGAGATAGAAATGCAGTGCCCGTGTTTGAAACTGGCGGATCTTAAAGCTCGAGCTGTCTTTGCGCTTTATTTTGCATTTTTAACGCCTCTTCACAACATTTTTCCGAAGTGCGGATTTGTTAGAGGAATCCCATCTTATTGGCAAATCCTGTGGTGGTTTTAATCCCGGTACCTTTTGCTGATCTGACCTTTGATTCCCTGCTTGAGATGAAAAGATGTGCTCTTCTGCTGTCCGCTCCCCTCTCATCACTCTTCTGCTGTCCTCATCACTCTGGGGATCTGCTGTGTTAATTGGCAAGTGAAGCTGAATGCAGAATACCGCTGAAGTGTGAATACTAACTGCACTAAAGCCTGAACATTCAAACTGAAAGCTGCTGACTGCTGGGTCTGGGTATGTCGGATGTTCAGAGCGCTGGTGCTTCTGTGTTCACCTTTCTCTAAACCCAGACACGGACCGCAAGCTGCTCGCCTGTGGCTGCTGTGGTATTAGGGGCACAGGTCCTAAGGAGCTGCAGAACTTGAGGAGGAAAGATGCTGTCAGCGTGGCTCCCAGCCCTGCACGTGCTGGGCTCTCCAGTACGACTAACACCAGGCGGCTCTCATGCCAGTAGAGACTGGGGAGTGTTGGTACTCCAGCATGAGGTTGCCGTGCTGTTGGCAGCCTGGCTCCTGAGCCACGTTCGACACCATCTCTCCGCTGGCAGTGCATCTCTTGGAGCTGTGTACTCTTTTGTTGATAATTCACCTCTAAAAGCTTGTGACAACAGGTTGGAGGATCCTTCCCTTAGGATTCAGATGTTCTTAGGAGTCAGTTTAAGCCAGCCCTTCTTAGAGAAAGAGAGGTTAGTCTTGTTAAGGGTGCTGCTGAAAAACGTCGGGGTTGCTTTGGGAGGAACTCCGCAGGTTCTTCATGCCCTGGGCAGGTGGCACGCTGGGGGCTGCGCAGTGTGCTTAGCAGCTCGGGCAGGTGTAGGTGGCAGTCCTCCGTGGAGGGGAGCGCAGGAGACCAGTGGCATCTGAGGAGGGGCTTTTGGGCTGTGCTTAATCATCCTCGGAACGGCGTGTGCCCGCTGGGTGCTGAGCAGTCTGTTTTCGCAGGAGACACCCTCCTTGCAATCCGAGCCCCGTCAGGCACGCGTTTGGAGGTTCCCATCCCTGAGGTGAGTGGTGAACGTGTGGGCAGTGCCGGGGTGTGCGTGTGTGTGTGTTGGGCAGGGGTTGTTGCTGGATTGAGCAGGCTGGGAGCTGGCGGTCAGGGCTTTGATGGAGTTGGAGGAACTGGCAACCCCAGGAAGTCTCCGGATATTAAAAAATTGCCAGGGAACTCTGTTGTTTGGAAGTGCGTGAGTAATTGCAGGAGCAGCAGGGGGAGGATAGCCGTGGGAGTCAGGAGGATTGCGTGTGGATCCGTGACAAACTGTCTGGACAGCATGTCTTGCCTCTGGGAAATTCCTGCTCTGTTTGAAAAGGGCTTTTAATGTGTGGTTGTGTTTTGCTTTTGACTTTTCTCAGGGCCTCAATGGGCAGAAGAAATACCAGATCCACCTGAAGAGCACAAGTGGTCCCATTGATGTTCTCTTAGTAAACAAAGATGCTTGGAGCTCTCCTCCCGTTGTGCTACCCGTCCCTCCCCCTGAAGACCTCATCCAGTGCCAGGCAGCTGCACCCTCCAAACCACAGATACCAGCACTCGCCCACTTGCAGGAGGCATCCGTTCCTGGCAGTGCCCAGCCCTCCACACCGACACCTTCCAGCACTCAGGACCACAGCCCTCCGGCGCAGAAAGCCGCGGGCACAGGTGAGGGGGAGGCTGCAGGAGGCCAAAGTGGACGGGGAGTGCGTACCTTGACCGGGCTGGGGTTGGCACTGCTGGTCGGGCAGCGCTGTCAGCTCCTGGCAAAGGGGGCACCTCTGCCTTTGCTGCAGCGCGCATGTTCGTCTGTCTTGGTTAGTGGGACGGGGTGTGTTGGTGGAAGTGATGCACTTGGCTTGACGGGGTAGTGCCAGCATTCATCGATTAGCTGAAGTTTGTAAAAGGGTCTTTTTGAGTCTCATGTTCAACTTTCAGTTTGAAAAAAGCCCATAAAAAATACTAGATTACGTTGGCTGTGGCCTTGTCCAGCCAAATTTTGAAAGCCTCCAACAGCAGAGATCCCCACCTTCCCTGGTGAGCCTCTTCCAGGGCTGCAGCACTCTCGGTGAATTCCTTTTTCCTGATGCCTGGATCCTCTGAGCTGCGTCTTGTGCCTGTTGTGCATGTTACATCGTTTGGCACCACAGAGAAGTTCTTGATTTTTGTAACTGCCTTTCAGATAGCTGCAAACTGCTGTTAGATGCCCTTAGACTGCTCTTTGCCCGTCTGAACAAGCCCAGCTCCCTCCACCCCTCCTTGTAGTCCGTATGCCCTAGAGCCCTGGCCATCTTGGCAGCCCTCAGCTGCATCTCCTCCGCATCTTTCTTGAGCCAGGGGATGCCTGAAGCTGGACACAGTATTGCAAGTGCAGCCTCAGCCCCGAGCGGGCGGATATGACTTCCCTGAACGTGCTGGCTACGATTCTCCTGGTGTAGCCTACTACCTGGCTTGTGCTCATTGCTGTGAGGGTGTGCTCTTAGCTTATGTGCGGCCTGGCACCTCCAAGACTGCTCTCCGGCAGAGCTGCAGCAAGACCTGGGAGTTTCTGCTGGGTGAAAGCAAGAAGCCTGCTTGCTGTGCAGCCGGCCGTGCTCGGCCAGCGTTGCCGGCGAGGGGTCGGTCTGTGCTGCAGCCACTTGCTTGGGGGCTGGTGGGAGGTGACGCTCCGGTGTGTGTCTGTGGCTCTTTCCAGAATGCGGTGTCTCGGCAGCAGAGTCCAAGAGCAGCGGCGACTTTGATAACCTCGGCAACGCGTCTGCACCTGCCCGCCCGCCGGGCGGGGTGCAGTCCTCTGCCTCGCTGGACAGCAGCTCCGTCCTGCCCAGTCCCTCTACCTCCTTTGAGCCGATCAAGCCCGATCCCACAGGAAGTGAGTATGCGCCCTCGCTTCATGGGTCGCTGCAAAAGCATGTGGCTTGGAGCGAGGGAAAGGCTGCTGGCCCTGGAGGAAACACCTCTGTTCTGTCTTTGCTGTCAAGCAGACTCTGCGAGGGAGGAGTAGGCATTTCCCTCTGAGGGTGCTGGGGAGCCTGGCGAGAAGGTGACACTGTCGTGTCTAGCGTCCTGACACTTTCTGTGACAGCAGCACTAGAAAATCTGCAAGGGGCATTCACATGGCACGTGCCTCTGCTCTTACATGTTGCGTTATTCCCTTTCAGTCCCTTCTGTAGTGCTGGGTCCAATTTTTTACCCTGCATGAAGCTACAGAATTTCCAGCCGTCACTGAGAGCACCTTCATAACTCGTGGGGAGTCTTCCTTCATTGGGAGGGCACTTGTCCCTGTCTTCCTCCTTTACTCAGGAATACTTCATCTGTCTTTAGTGATGTTGTGGTCTTAATGACCTCACAGTGTGTATTTTGGGACGTCCTTGATGAGCTTGGTGAGGTGAAGTGGGCTTTAAACAAGGAACATTTGAGCTTTGTGCCAGGAAATGGCAGGCCGGCCCAAGGAGAGAAAAGTGTTCTCTGGGTAAGACACGCTGCTCTAATGTTTTGAAGCCTGCCTTCACTGCAGAAACACTCCAGGTTAGAGAGTTACGGTTGGAAGAGGAGGTCTTGCTCAAATGTAGCTCGCGCAGCGCTTTTTTCACGCTTCTGCTGCTCGCGTGTCTGAGAGAATTGTGAACTGTCTGTCTCCATCTTGGAGCAGTCAGACCGTGAAGTTAGGCCCTCAGTCTGCGTATAGCTTACCGTATCGCAGCGGGCCGTGCTGACTTTGAAGGCATGCCCTCATCCTGCACAAGATAAATGGAGATGGTGTACGGACGCTGACGCCCGGTGAGGCTCACGTACAGACAGTTACTCTGGAGCTGCTGACTGTGATAACATGTTCACGTCCCGGGGCTCATACAGATTTATTTTAAAGTAGTTGAGCTTAAGTATTTTACTGCTTATCATTTCAGCAGAAATGTGTGACGTGGGGTGTGGGAGCAGAATTTCAGGGTGGCGTAGGACAGTTTGGGTGTGTTAGGAGTACAGTAGGACAGGAGGTGATAATGCTGTAAAATGTTTCAAACCTTTGTGTAATGGTACAAACTATTTGGTTTGTTGTATTTGCAGTACTGGAACTTCCCAAAGAGCTGTCAGAGATGTTTGATCCAACGAGAGGTATGTTCACTCCCTGAGCACAGCTTTGTTCTGTGCCCACCTACCGACAGAAGCGGGACAGTTTGTTTTACTCCCTCCCTTTTGGAGTATTTTGGGGTTGTGGTTTGGTAAGGTGCTTGTGGTTATTGGTGGCTGCCGGATCTCTCTTGTGTTACGGTTAGGCACTCTTAAAATTACTGGTTTCTGTGTGTACTTTTCTGTCTTCATGTTGCCAGCAACCTCTGTTAAGAGTTTCCCCTGCAGCGTGTAGATGAGTGCGTTCCCTTCCCCGTGCCAACACTAATCTGTGCTCCGGCTTCCCGTGCTCCTTCTCCAGCTTGTTGGCACACAAGAAAAATCCCCGTTAGTCTTCTTCCAGCTGTAGCCTCCCCAGGTCTAATCCAAGCAAATAATCTAGGGAGATGGTCTTCTCTCTTCAAAACATTGCTCCGTGGCTTTAGTGGTGCTAGCGATTTTGGAGCAGTAGGGGAGGGGTTGCTGTTACTGGTGTTAGGAGTTCTGCCCAAGGAACGTCTGGGTGTCGCTGCCCCACGGTGGGACCGGCTCTGGGCCGAAGGGCAGGAGAGGTTGAAGGAATTTGGTCTAACATGAGCCTAATACGGGAAACTCTATTCACGCCCTTCAACGCTGGCATGATACTTTCTAGCCTGGCGGCTAGGCAGAGCCGAGTATGCACAAGCACTTTAGTGGTGGTGACAGGATTTGTCTCGCCACAGTCCCTCGCCGTGTGCTCTGGCCAGTGCTTTGTGGAAGTGCTGGCTTCGGCAGCCCCGAAAGCATGTGTGCCAGCCTCCAGCCTGCGTGCTCGGAGCTGTGAGCTCGCAGTCAGCCTCCAGAGCACCTTTCTTCCTTGCGCAGCGCTCACTGCCGTAGGCTGCAGATGTGGTCGTGGTAGTGACCGAGTACATCTGAAGAGTAGGTTCGGCTTTGCGGTGTGAAACATGAACTGCTGCAAGGCCCCAGCCCATGTGGAAGATCTAGCTTGGGCCCAACCTAACCGTACTGCATGGACACTATTGAAAGGGAGATGTTGCTGTCAACAGTAACGTGTGTTGTTTTATGAAGTGTTCTTCCCAGTTTGGAGGGGGAAGATAGAGATCCAGGAGCGAAGCGCAGAACAGAGTCGACAGCTGCAGAGGCTCGGGACTGGAGAAGAGCCATGCTACAGAGCTCGGAGAAACGGGCCTTGCAGCGTGCTCCGTGCAGGCTCTTTTGGCCCCGTGTGATCACAGTGGTGTTGCAGGGGCAACTTTAAGGCTGCTTTAAGCCTACGCAGTTGAAGCTGCAGGAGCCTGGCGTTCGTCCTTAGTGTTCTGCACTGGAATTACTTTTTCTGCATGGTTTGCTGTCTCTTTTAAATGGGTGCTTAAAAACCGCTTGTTTTAAACTCATGTCCTGGGAAAAAAACTGAATTTCAACACAGACATACACACGCTGTGCTATACTACCAGCCCTGATCTAAGAATGCAGGTTCTGCATGTCGTTGCATTTTACTGAAGCTGGTGTTAGTCCTGTCCTGTTGCTTGTGTTGAAATTCTCTCATCTCACGCCACTGAATTAGGCAGGTGGGTTCCTGTCCTCTTGGAAACAGCCTGCTGTGGAGAAGCGTCTTGAAAATGGGCCGATCCAAGTTTCTTTTGTGAAAGCTTACTTCAAGTGTGGGCGGTATCTCATCAAGCCAGTTAGGCTGAGTTAGATACTCACTATCGGAACTTGATAAAGCGGTATTCAGAACGTTGTTTTCACATGCTTAGTTTCTTCGAGAGAAGAGATTGCCTTGCCTGTGCTTTGGCTGGCTGCTTGTCTGTCTGCTCTTCAGCTTGCCAAGAGTAACAATGCTGGCGGAAGCAAGGTCATTTCAGAGATAATTTTTTTACAGTTCCGTGTGGGCAGCGGAGGGGAGAGCAGAGTTAATGGCCCATTAAGGAAGGAGATGCAGAGCGCTGGTGTTCATTCTGTCTGGCAGCGGGCAGCCGGCGAACCTGCCAGGGCCTGTGGCTGCATTAGCGACAGCACAGCCATGGGGCAGGGGCAGCAAATTAGGGGAGCAAGGGACACAGATCTGGAGGAAACTGGAGGCTCGTTACTTCTACCGCTCCTGGAACAGGAGGGTTTTCATTTTTTCCCCACTCTTAGTGAAGCTGGAGGGTGGCTGAGGCCTGTGGATATGTCAGGCTTGGCCAGCTCAGTTTGAGGAGCATGTTGAGGAGTTTCTTTTTGGAGAAGTTTGGGGCACCAGCGAACATGCCAGCGCAGGGGGAGGGCACAGCCTGTCCCACGAAGGCGACTGGCGTACAGCTGAGCTAAAGCAGGGGGAAACCTCCTGCAGAATTTTTTTATGTCGCTCGAGTTGTCTGACACAGATTTCCCTTTTCCCATGGCAAGAGGCCCAAGCCTCCTTTCACCATGGCCTGCTGCAGGCACCGTTCCTTAGCCAGAGAAGGGATACAAGGGTGGGGAGCACCCTGGGCAGGGTGGGGAGCTGCACAGGAGCAGCCCAGGAGTGCTCTGCTTAACCATGCTTGTCTCTTCCCCAGAATGTATGAACTCTGAGCTGCTGGAAGAACTGATGTCATCTGAAGGTGAGTCTTTGAGTCTCTCTCTTGCGGCGTGGCCTTTCCTGGGGAGGAAGACCATGCTGTGTGACTTGACCCAGCTGACAGCCTTCTGACTGCAGACTCACCCTTGTCTCTGCTGGGCTCTGGACAGAGACTGTGTTCTTACTGTCCTGCCAGTCCCTGAGAGAGGTGCAAGGACCAGAAGAGCCTGTCTCTTCCTCGTCGCAAGGCTGACTCGAAGCAACCTCAAAGACTGTCACTGTGAGGTGGCCTCCTCATGGCTCCGCAGCCCAGTGCCCGTTGGCAGCTCTGGGCTAGGTGTGGGAGTCCCGAGTTTTGTAACTGATTGTGGGCTTCTCTTCCCTCAGTGTTTGCTCCCTTGCTCCGCCTCTCCCCTCCACCTGGAGATCACGACTACATCTATAACCTGGATGAGAGCGAAGGCGTCTGTGACCTCTTTGACGTGCCTGTCCTCAACCTGTGACTTCTCAGTGCGGCTGTGAGCCTCGCAAACACAGACTGTTTTGTAACTCTTTGGAAAGTGTCTATTTTTGGATTCCTTTTGTGCTAGAGCTTGACGAGCGAGCGATTCAGAGATGCTCTTGTATGGACTCAGAACCAAGAGATGTGGACTTGCAGGCTGGGAGCCTCCCTGTAGCTTCGTCCTCTTCCTCTGTTGCCCGTGCAAGGTGCACGTGCAGCTCGCCCCGTCGCATCCCTCTCTCCACCGGATCCTGGGCCTCACTTCAAAGGGTCTGTGTTTTGAGCGTTCCCAGTTCACCCGCAGAGTTTGCCCACGTGCCTCTCTGAGCTTCCTCAGATCTGCATGCCTTGGTTTTTCCTGCACTCCTAGAGGCACTTTGCACCTCCTAGGTACCGGCTGCTACAAGGAGCCCCAACGTCGCAGTCAGTTCGCAAGCCCAGAGGTAGTTAGCTAGATGCTTCAGTGTGAGCAGTTCAGATTGGGGTGGTTATACTTCTGAATGACAATGGGGGGGGGGGGGGGGGGGCGACCAAGGTGCCTGTTTGTTTTATAAGAAAAAGCACTTTTTTTAGCCAGCTGTGCCTGCTAGTTGGGCTCGGGAGCCGAGTGTTCCTAGTAGGACCCGGGAGCTGAGTCTTTCCCTGCTCGTGCATTTGAAGGAATGCTGCTTCTGCATTCACCAGTCTGCTGATCCATGAGCCCAGGGGCTCCAGCTCCTCATACAGCAGCTGTGCTGTTTCTGCAGGGCTAACGAAGAGGTGCCAGTATGTTTTTGGTTTTTTTTTAATTTTTATTTGGTTTTGCCTGAGTGAAGAGATGTTTCAAAGGATAAGACTGCTCCAGCTGGTGCCTGTAAGGTACGCCAGGTACATCAGAGCCTGCTCATATTTGCAAATAGCTGTCTTCTCCAACCATTGCACTTGAGACTTCAGCTGTCTGAAAGGCGACCAAGCAGTAACGATTCAGTACTACTTTGCCGTGACAAGTTACGTAGGTGTTCTCAAAATAGTGCTTTTTTTCTCCCCCCTTTTTCTCGCTCGGCATCTGCTCAGGATCAGGCTTTCTGTATATTTGAATTTGCTCCTCTCGTGCCCGTACCCAGCCTCCGAATTCCTGATCCTGTGGCAGGTCGCTGCCTAGTGGAATGCTTTCTCTGCATCATTTTTCTGCAAGATTTTCTTCATTGCTTTGTAATGGAAGGTCTGCTGTTGGGTCCGGTGCGACGATCAGGTGGTACCAGGCTTGGAGCCTGTGCAGTCTAGTTGGAGTGAAACGCCCTGATGGATTTGTGTTGTATTTTGCAAGCCCCAAACTTTGGTTTTTGAACACATCCTGTATTTGAGTGTTTTCAGTTTTGCACATCTTCATGCTGACGCGGTGGGAGCCGCTGGACCGCCTGTT